CAGCTGCACACAGTTTACACCAACACATACCTTGTGACTGAAGCATTTCTCAGTAGAGAAGTCAGCGCTGTGGGCAATCACATTCGTACTGGAAAGTACAGCATATGCTACAATCTGGACGACTGGTGCCATGTCAGTAGAAATTCTCAATTTAAAGGACACCTCACCCTCATTCACTGAAACAAACAAGCATACCAAAAATAGCTATAATATCAGTTTTATTTTAATAATCACCAAACTTTTTTTAAAAAGGTAACTGGATTTAATACCTGATATTACAAAAGAATTTCATGAACTCATGATTTGAGCCAGTCTTTACATACCTGACTGATCTTTAAATTTAATCTGTTTAAATCCTTGCATGACAATGGCTCCTCTGGACAACACCTGAAGAATATAGAAGAAAATGACACAAAATGTGTAATCCAGCTGTAACATTGTGCATTTTGCGTCTCTCCCAGCTTTAAGTCCTGCCGGGAGTTATTCAGAAACAGACAGTGCAGTCTGCTTGTGGTCTTGTATTTTGAAAATTGACTGGACTTTGGACAAATGACCGAACATCCTCCAGCTTCTGTCTCCAGTGGGGCAAAAGGCTCAGATGCCCCTTCTCCCCTTCATTGTTTGCATTTTTTTTTTAATCAAACTAGCAGCAGCAATCTGGCTATAGCAATTAAGGGAATAAAATGCAAGAATGTAGAACATAAAATTAGTCTTTATGCAGATGATGTGTTGCTTTTTCTTCAGCATTTACAAACCACTTTCTCTGAGGTGAATATATTAATAAACTCTTTCTGTTTCATTCGATAAACTGGTAGATTTTCAATTTTTTTTTCCCTTTCTTTTTTTTTCTTTTTTTTACTGTGGATGAACTTGTGACAAGCAATAACTCACCAGATATACCACATCCATGTAAACTGCAGTTTCCCTCACTATAGTGTACTGAATAGATATGTCTTCTTCTGCATCGCAGGAAAGGGGTTTATCCTTCATCTTCAGCTTCAGCGAGCTGAATGTTTTTTCATCTTGAGAAGGAGGTTGGGATGTATACACTGTGTGAAATCCTAAATCATAAAAAGGAGTTCTATGGCTTTGGAAGTATAGGGTTGGTGTCAGGGCTGCCTGAATTGTAGAAAAGAAACATACATAATTTGATGAAGAAGAAAATACTGTGGAAGGTCACTGAAAGATGGGTTTTAGAAGCAAGCTAATGTAAAATAATCTTAACAGTTTCACTATAGTCACTAATTACTATTGTAGCACCTTGGACAAGCAACATCAGAAATCATATTAAGTCAATGAAAACATTGTCATGTAACTTACCAATGCTGACTTAAAAACTACTGTTTCAGTGTAATTATCTACTTACATGGAGTTTAATATCCTCATGAAAGTTATCTGTGCTGAATGAAAACTCAGCGACACCATTGCTGTCAGTTGTTAGATTTTTTAGTAAGCGTTCTGACCAACGTTCTCCCACAAACAGGTACACAGGTGCTTTGGAAATGGGTGTATCATTGTAGTAAACTGCTTTAACCTGTTCAAACCACAATGTTTCATTACTAAAACCCACATTATTTACACTACATTCTAAATTACATAGCACAAATTTGAACTTACTTTTCCCTCCACATTTGATCCTGGTTCCCAAATCTTGGGAACATCAACAAAAGATGCTTTTCCAAGGACAAAAGAAATTCTTATTTTCATTTCTTGTTTGTGTGAAATGCCTGAATACGAAACCTCAATGTTAAAACAATGCACATGCCATATTTCCACAAATGCACAATAACCTATAAATTAAAAAAAATGTAACAATTAAAATAAAATGAAAAATAACAACTGCAAGACTTTCCTGTTCCCTTCTCTTCCATTTTGGCAATGACATTCAGCTGATCTTTAAGGAATTTTTTGTTAATTTTGGTGAAGGTTGACATCTTGAACGTAACAGCTGCACAGCCTGTTCCATCAGCCTAGAAATTCCAAAACAATAAAATATAAATAATTTTAAAAAGGCTTACATCATACTTTTATTTCCTAAGACCCGAAGTCTTTCATGGCATGCATTTTTAATTTGTCTTTGCTATTTGGGCTGATTGGGACCTGATGAATGTAAAAACAAAGAATTATCTTTATACTGATTTTGCTCTACAAGGGCCTGATATCCACATATAAGGATATTCGTTCTTTTTATTTTATTTCTTATTTGCATTTTCAGAAATTTTTTTTTTTTTTTTTTTTTTTTTATTTTTGTGTGTGTGTTCTAGTGGCAGTATAATGTTGTTGTAAGTGAAAATCAGGCTCGTGTAGAGCAAAATTTAGTATTGTGGTCTAGACAACCCAAAATTTGATGTCAACATATGTGGACGCCAGGTTCTAGGAGGTTAAGCAGGTTGCAACAATTTGGACTTTGTTGCAGTCGCTTAAGCCAGTTGTAGCTCTACCAGTGTTACTCATGGAATAAATGACTTAAACTCATTATTTAATCAGTTAGCTTGTTAAGAGCTGACACACATGAGCCACAGAACATATTCATAACAGCAGAAAAAAAATGGAGTCAAAGTGATAGCTACAATTCAGCATTCATAAATAATGAGGGCACAACAGTGAATATTACTGAATCTGTAACCGGGTATTTTATAATACAGAATTAAAAATAAATGCTTTAAGGACACTAAAAATTATTTAATTGAAATTCAAGTTCAACTTGAAATTTTACTCATTATATTCTCGAAATTTGGAGATAGATAAGATAATGATAAAGTACTGCATTAATTCCTGACATAGAGAAACCTTCTGCATGGGCATGTGGTCTGCTTTTATCTGCACATTGTTTCAGGAGAAATTTGAGACTGGAACAACTGTACCCGTTTGGTCTCTGTGTGGCAGGGAGCCTCTGTCTTGTGTTTCTTAGCAGAGGAAATAGAGCGTTCAAGAAGTCGGCACATCGTAACTGTAATACTTCCTGGAACAGGCTGTCCAAATGTGTACCTATTAAAATAAAAACAAAAATTAAAAAAAACTCCAATTTGTGAGGATCTAAATTGCCATTTGTCAAGAAAGGACTCCTACTTACTTTGCACATGATTTAATATCAACTTCTTCCTGGCCAATACTCACTTCTTCAGATACATTTACTGTTACGTCAAATTTGGGTAAAACTGGGGACAAAATATCAAAGTTAGTATCTGCATTATATTAAGAATATTTAAAAACAGAATTTCAAAAGATCTTTTTAAAGACCTGACTTACCATACTTTTCCACCTTGAATTTGTGAACAAATTTATCTTCACCCACAGAGACAATTATTTTGTACGTTCCTTCATGGGCCTCAGAGTTCAAGGAGTATGAAAGCTGCAATATTTTATTATTGGATGTTTCATTTAACCACTGTCCAATCCTGTTTTTATTGGGATTCTGTTAAATACAAGAGAAGTACGTGTACAACTTAACCTTTTCAATTGTTTGCACTTGTTTGCATATTAAAGAATATGTTGGTGAACCCCAAAGGTTGTCTGGTGCATATATTGGTGTTTGTATTTCTGCTTATTGAGTGAAAAACAAACAAATTAAAGTCTAATAACCTGGTATAAGAGAGAACTGGACTACTGCATCTCATCTGGTCTCCAGTATAGGCAATATAAAGTTGTGATCAAAATGTTACATAAAGTTATCATAGGGAAAAATGTCATAGTGACTTTCGTTTTTTTTTTATTATTATTATTATTATTATTTCTGTAGACTGTTATTTTTCCAGGTTGAAATGACTATACAGAAAAAATAAATTATTTTGTATTTTCTCTAATCGGTAGCCATCAAGAATCTTCTGGTATAATTCCAGGTGGATATTTAATAATAATACATTTTATTCATAAAGCGCCTTTCAAGACACCCAAGGACACTTAACAAACAACAAATAAACAACAATAAAACAAATAACAGAACAATGATCAAATGAAGAACAATAAAAACAAAAGCACAATATAAAATTAGCAAACAATTGATTCACAGTGAATATACAGATTTGAACAGATGGGTTTTGAGTTTAGATTTAAACCAATGTTTCTTATATCTGGGAGCAGAGCAGCTGCAAGCTCTGCTTCCCATGGTCGTGAGGCGGAAAGAAGGCACAGCAAGCTGGATAGAAGACGAGGATCGAAGTGAGCAGGCAGAAGAGGTAGTGCTTAACAGATCAGAAAGGTAAGCAGGAGCAAGGTTATGAGGGTGAGCAGAAGAAGTTTGTACACTATCCAGAATTTCACAGGGAGCCAGTGAAGTTCCTGAAGAACAGGGGTGATGTGCTGGTACGGAGGAGGTTCTGGTAATAATGCGACAGGGAGTTCTGAACCAGTTAAAGCTTATGGAGGGACTTTTTGGAGGAGACCATGCAAAAGAGAATTACAGTAGCAAACGGGAGGTAACGACCATGGACAAGAATGGACAAAGACTGGTGGGAGAGAGAAGGACGTAATCTGCTGATGTTGCGTAGATGGAAATAGGCAGAACGATTGAGATTATTGATGTGAGATTTATAGGACAGGATGACACCAAGGCTCTTAACATGAGGTGAAGGGAAAACCTCTGGAGTCATCAGTAGTGAGTGAGAAATGATTTGCCTTCAAAAGGTTGGATTTAGTGCCAATAAGAGGATTTCAGTTTTTTCCTCATTAAGCTTAAGAAAATTAGAGCTGAATCAGGATTTCAAGCATTCTGTAAGGGAAGAAGCTGGGAGGGAAGAACAGGTCTGCAGGAGATATATAACTGGGTGTCATCAGCAAAACAGTGAAAGTGAAGATCAAATTCTACAGAAAATGGTACCAAGAGGGAGGATGTATATTATGAAGACAAGAGGGCCTAAGACTAACCCTTGGGGTACACCAGATGTGACTGGCAATAGATGAGAATGGAATGATTTAATTTGAATAAACTGGGAGCGGTCAAGGAGATATGACTGAAATCAGGCTAGGGGTGTGTCAGAGATGCCAAGAGAGGAAAGTCTGCTCAGAAGGACGTAGTGAGAGTTTGTGTCGAAGGCTGAGCTCAGATCCAAAAGGATGAGAATGTTGAGAAGACCAGAGTCAGCTCCGATTACAAGATTATTAGTAACTTTAAGTAACGGAGTTTGTAATCCAGTTCCTGAAATCATCCTAAACAAAAAGGAAAAACAAGTTATTTTACTACACTCAGTATTGAATACTTTGAGGTAATTTTTAGTATATTTCCACGTATACTAGAAGGCCTATGGTACAAGGTGGATTAAGCACATCTATTTTAATACTCTATTTCAGACTGAGTCTTGTGTTTACATGTTATTGAAAATTATTGTACTTTGTTCAGTCTGATAAGCATTTCGTATTGCTCCATCTCTTAAGGGGTAATATATTATTTATTTGTGATTTGATATATACAGTGAGTTTATTCTGATGGATGTATGAATGTTTACCATAAAAGTGGCGACTATAGTTCCTGAATATTTGAAGCCTTGTGGAAAATCTTAATCTTACTGACAGGTTACAACTGTGAATTTTGAAATTGATACTGTTGACTTTGAACCTTGATATTTTAATGTTGTACAACATGCACTGAACTGATATGATTGAACTGATGATAGCTGATCTGAATAGTAGTTACTGCAGCGTGACACTACTTTGTTAATTTGTGAGAGTTATTCCTTAAATGGTGCGTGACATATATTTGGCCATTGTTTATAGGTCAGGTTTTTATATGGGACGAATCCAAGAGACCAGTCAGCAATTACAGATCCCAGAGTGTTCCAGTTTTCACTGGATCCTAGGGGACGATATACACATTGATGGACTACAATTCTCTGCTGTACAAGTAGTGCGTAGGACAGACAATCACACACAGCACTTCTCATTGGACGGACTCTGTTGCAATGCACCCATTTGTCATGGGCCCCACTGGTACCATTTGGACTTTAAAGGACTAATTCTTTTACTTCGTGCAATTTTATTTTTATTCTATTTTTTTGCTACTTTGGGGGGAAATTTTTATACATATTGTTGTAATTCTGTGTTGGTTACAAAAATTCTTGAAAAAAATCTTAAAATGGCTTAAATTACTAAAGTTACTTGAAAGCCACACAACTGTGTTTTGTTTCTCTGTCATTCATGTACCAGAGCTCCAAGAGTCCTTCCTATTCTTCTGATACCAGCCCAAATTACTCATCACCTTGGTTATTATCCATTGGTACTGTATATAAACCCACATAAGTGCTACAAGTTTCTATACTGTGACATGAGTGAAAACCAGATTGAAATCTCTTGTAGATATTATTATTAACCAGGTGTGAAAGCAGTTGAGCTGCACCGTTTTTTCAAGTATTTTAGAAATGGAGGTTAGATTAGAAGGAGGTTGTTAAAGTTGAATGATAGCAGAGATGAGTGGGAGTAGAGAAGAGAGGCAGGGTTTCAGGTCATTTATTTGACCATTCTTCTTAGCAGAATTGGTAGAATTAAGGTTGAAGTAAGACATTTTCAATAGAATTAAGAACAAGGCTTTCAGAAAGTAATGTAAGCCTGCCTTATCCATTCAGTTTTAGTTTGTGTTTGGGATCATTGTCTTGTTGGAGCAGTCAATTGTGTCCAAGTTTCAGCTGTCTAGCTATTCACTAAAGGTGAAGTTGAAGAATTTGGAGATACAATAAACCTCATTCATTATTTCATCTGGTTTGTGCAATGTACCAGTACCAGGAGAAGCAAAACAGGTAATGCTATCACTGCTACTTGACAGCTCGTACAGTGTTCTTTGGTTTGAAAGCTTAACTCCTCCAAACATACTTCTTGTCATTGTGACCAAACAGCTCAATCTGTGTGTCATCTGTGCATCAAACGTTTCCTGGAAATCCTAAATTTTTTTTTTTTTCATTTAAGTGTGACAGTTTGGGTCTTCTTCTGGAACTTGGCAAAGTGGTTATCCTCTTAAGCCCATATGCCCCAGATAAGGGGGCAAAAGTCAGGAGATCGGTTTGGCATTGGGGCTTAAGAGGTTATGTCATATGGTGTTGTGAAACAGGCAGGATGGAGGACCCAAAACACAAACTCTCAGACAAAAACTAAACTCAAAAATTTATGAGTTTATTGCTGGACTTAAGCAATACAAAACAAAAACAGGAATGAACTAGAACCAAAGAAACAGACAGAGCACACAGCCAGGGAATGAGCAAGATCGTGACAAGAATCAGAGGGGAGATGCAGACATAAATACACACAAACGAAGGGCAAACGAAGGTGGGAACACAGCTAAACGTGATCTAACAAAAAAGACGGGAGGCAAAAGTGAACATGCTGAGACGGAAGACTATCAAAGTAAAACAGGAAGTACAAGAAACACACACTAAGATGCAGACTGAGTAAATGAAGCTTATGCGCAAGTTCATCAAGGAAGATGGATGGTCTCACATCTATCTGCTTCCAGGTGCTGGGAATCTCGAGTTTTGTACTTCCACTTTCCCACGTTTCCAAGCTGTTTGTGTCATCACTGGTCTAGTCCAATCACCTTCTCCAGCCTTTTCCAGGCCAATCAGCATTCATAGCGCATACTTTAAATCTCACTGTGCATCTGTTTTTCTTCTTTGCAGATGCTGTTGTGCAATCCAACTCATCCCCATCCCCACCTCTCATCACTCAAGCTCCATTCAAGACACCTTCATCTCCACCACCAGCGTCTAAGCTCCGATTTATTCAGCAATAAATCATATTCATTCTTGCTAATAATCTGTCCTCACTGAAACACAGGCAACAGGTGGAGTGAGAGAGACACGGAGACATGGCTGGGGAACAGGCAAAAACATGGAGACCGAGACACGACTGGGAATTTGAGAGCGAGAGACAGAACTTAACACACCTAACCTGACGTGAAAGACTGCACAGGGAGGCACAATAACAAAGGAGATGCTGGGGAGGAAACAGAGACAGGACCAAGAGAACCCTAAAGATAACTAGAAAACTAAAGCGACTTATGAACATAAATATAAACAGACAGAAACTCCACAACTAACACAAGGAAAATGGAAAATGCTGGGCAAAAAAACCCAGGATCATGACAGATTATACAGTGATAATGATCCTGTGCAGATGCAGATTTTTGCTCACCTCAAGGCTTCATAATGGGATTTCACAAATTTAGAGACAACATCACAGCAGCTACAGACATCTTTTATGCTGTCTATGATTTTCAGCCTTTTGAAAAATTGATTCAATGCTTGAGCTATTCTTACATTCTACTTATAATATAATGTTGTATAGCTTCCTAAACCTCCTGATCTTTTGGTATATTCTATTTCTTCCATTTAGTTCCCATCTTTCCCACCTTCATGTCACGCACTGAAATTGGAATGACTGTAGCCAATGAGTGCCCTCAGTGGACTAATGTTTGAAGCTATACTTTTAGTTTTCTGCTAAAGCACCATGTTCTTCTCTATCCAGCTTTGATATGTTATGGTGAAGGTTAGGCTCCCTGTTAGCTGTTCTTCTACTTGTTTGTATTGTAATTATACAAAATAGTTTAATTATAAGTGCTGTGTGTTTAATGTAAAGGTGTAAGAAATAACCTGACACAATATATACTGTTTATATATCAACAAAATTGTACCACGGTAAAACACTGATATCAGAATCAGCATATGAATTTCAGAGTTGCTGCACTTTGTTGTGCTGTTGGCTTTAAGGAACGTTTAGACCCTTAACAAATCTATTAGATTTACATGCTGAATGTAAAAAATAAAATAAAATGATGTGTGGATATTTTCTTACCTCGAGTTCAATGATGTTGCACTAAAAGGCAAAAAATCAAAACGAACAAAAGTGAGAAAATTGTTAGAGGAAATGATTTTCTCATACAGTGTCCTACCAATGACTCTATCCAACTGCAGGCTTGGTAGAAATTCAAAAATATTAAACACATAACACAATTGAACATAAAATGAATGTCAACAGTATGTGATTTTTTTATGTTATTTTGTATACTCCAAGTGTTTGCTTGTTAGAGTTATCACAGAATAAGTAAAAAACAAATTGTACTATTGATTTGTTAGTGCAAGTTGACTGATAAACTCAGAGTGATAAAAGTCAAGGAGGAAAGGAGAGACAGAAACACTCACCAGCTGACTGACAGGTCTCAACTTGGGGTCCAGTGCAACAACCCTGAAATGCACTTTGGAAGAAGTTCAAAGATTTTACACCTTAATGAGTAATAAATTCTGACCAAGAAATGAAACTGAAACATTCTCCAACATCATTACTGCCAAATAAGCAGTAGTACTAACATCATTTTCTCTTTGTTTCTATTCGTAACAAGCTTTAAGTAAATTAAATGTGTATATATTTTATATTGTTCATCCTCATATCCTTTGTAGAGGAAAAGCGTGAAATGGACATGGTGGACTGCCATGTCTATACACGCCTTGTTGTGATATCAGGTTGCAGCAAAAGACTTTCATAAAGCCCGGAGAGCACTTTAAAAAAACACAGCAGATGAGAATCTGACTTCTCCGAAGCAAAATGTACAGAAATGATAGCTGGCTTAAACGGTGTCAGAGTTTAAAGAACTTTATAGGACAAATCAGAATATTGAGTTGTAACCTAACAAAAAGGTCCATATTAATGTTAATGATGTATTTGCACCTTCAAACTGTACCAGACTTTCCTGACAGCTACAATTAGAGGCATTGCATAATAACATATTAGGGCATACTGTTTGTGCACACAACGGGGTAGTGCTCTTACAAGCAAATCAACAAAAAGCCAAACTATCAGTCAGCACAACTGTTATGTTTTTTGTCTGTGTAGTGCGATTTAAGTCAGCTCACTTCATAATAAACTGTTTAAATCACAATGTTTATTAGGATGATTTATATATAAAATAATTTATAGTTAATCATCTTAAAAGTCTGCATATGGGTGGGAAGCACATCCAGAATTTTGTCAAGGGCTTCTCTGCATTTATCATAGAATCCATAATGTTGAACAATTTAGAAAAAACAGTTTGTAGGCACATACTTGTTCAGACCTAGAATAGCAGAAGGTGTATTTAAAAGCAGATAGCTTAGAAACATTTGGAAATTCATAGTTTAAAAACTAACAGTGCTTTTCCAATAGTGTTCTACTACATACAGGTTTGCCTGTTTTTTCAAAAGTGTTGGTGACACAGAGAGTGCTTGGATTGTGCAGCACTGTTGTATTTTTACACATTTTTATTTATCTATTTAATGTTTAGATTATTCTGAAAAGAAAACATGAATGAATGAATGTTTGCTGGAAATAGTTTCGGTGATTTGTACAAACATGGCCAGACTAACTTCAATTCACATTTTCAAAACTTGCTCAATAGTTTGTAATTATCATAGTTCAGCTCGACATGCTATCAAAATATCTGGAAATTATAGAAATAAACGTTTTTGTTTTTGAGTGAAAGAGACGTGTTCATGGTGGAAGTTCAATACGCCCCAGGAAAAGGGGGGGGGGGGGTCTCCCGCAGCTGGGGGCAGGCAATACTAAGGGCTCGACATCTGTATCAGAATAAGTCCATCTTCAGTCTTCTGATTGTGGTTCATTCATGTCTCAACTCTCCTCACCTTCTGTTCTGTCAGGGATGGTAGAGGGGTGTTATCCGGACTCTGGTATGTAATTGATCCTAGGCCTGTTCGCTTTTATCGGCTCTTTGGAGTGAAACATAGTTACATCTTTTCTCACTTCTTTTGAGTGAAATGTGTCTCCTCTTACCTCCACCTCAAAATCCAGAATCTTTTCTCCTTCCACTAAAGGAGCCTTTAAGAGAAGTGTTTGAGAGAATGAGGCGCATTATTTGTTTATTCTTATTTATTTATAAGAATAAATAAATAATTGTATGCTGTGTTTAAAATACTTGACTGTATTCACCTGCAGTCTTTTTTTTTTTATATTAGAAATTACCAAGTGAATCAAAACCCATCTTGGGGAGCTCACCTTAAACTGAGTACAAGTATGAAAATCTTCATTGGATGTATGTGTGAGCAGGGTTGTATTCTCCTCTCTGGACATCAAAGTGACAGTCATGACCACAGTCTCACTGGGCTGCAGAAGACTTGCACAAAATTTGGTCTCAGCTCCAGCTTCTATAACTGCAGGAATGGCCACCAGGTACTGCCTGCAGACACAGACAGATGAACGCATAAAGCACTGACAAAGAAGGAAACCCCAAACCAGTGCTCGTGCAAAGTTTAACTACAAATGTTACACACAAAGTCACAAAGCAAACAAATTCTATTTTTCTTTATAAAGAACACTTAAACTTACGGTTCAGCCACCGCTTGATCCACACACATCCAGCTCAGGAGGACACTCAGTGTCCATGTCAGAATTCTTGAACAGCCCATGACTCACTGCAAAGATTTTCAGAGTCAGCGTCTGTTAAATAGACACCCCCTCAACCCCCATGCCCCTCCCACTTAGCACAGATACCAACACCCATGACCAGCCCCTTCTGTTTGGTCTCCAGATATCTTGAAAGCACAAAAAGTTGGTCATGCAAAAATTCTACAGGTCAAAAAAATTCAAACAATTTTAAGATATTTAAGATGTAGGGGTTTTTTTTATCCACAGACTTGTTTAGCACCAGGTGCTGTCTTCAAAATTAAAGCAAGTAGTAGTTTTTTTTAAGTTTTTAGTTTTCAAACATGTATTCCATTCTATTTATGCTAACACTGGAGAGAGAGAAGAGTTATTTTTTGTAAGTATTGATGTTTTCCTAATATTTTACCAAAATCCAGGAAGGAAATGTGGTTGCAGTGAGTGAAGTGTTGTAACAACTACTGATCTGTAATGGCATTCTGAAATAACAGATAACATACATAACATACGTATCACAGACGTGATACAGAGTAACACCATGCAGATGCTGACTGAGTATGAAACACAGGATGATCGCTGTGTTGTGAATTAGGGGGCAGGGTTTAATAAGAATATTTTCTTCTTCCTGCTCCTTTTCACACATGGTTGTAATGTTTTTTGATAGAAAGTGTGGTTGGTTTGTTTGAATTGTTGTACCAAGTGTGAAATAAATAAATAAATGAAAAATGAAATGAAATGAAATTATGAAGAACGTGTCATAAATTAGTAGAAAGGTCACCCGAGCACAAAGCACTGTAAAAGTTCCACAAGTTTATTTACAGATTTAGGCAAGAGGGAACAGAAGCAGTCAACAGAGCAGGCATTTTTGGCTTTTGACTTCCAGTAGTGGCATGCACACATGTGAATAGACCTCACGGGTTCAGATTTCGCGGCAAGATTTGCACAGAAACAGGCATTAATACAGGGCATCCATGCTGTTCTCCTAAGAATTTCATGGCTTGCTCATGTTCACCGAGGGCAGGGATCAGCAACCTTTAAGACCCAAAGAGCCATTTGGACCCAGTTTCCACAATCTCAATTATATAATAAACAGTTGGACTGCATTTGACCTCCTTTTGACATAGTTGAACATCAGCTTTTGAAAAAGTAAAAGTTTATTTTATATGCATAGTGACAGACCCGTAGGGCGCTATCCAACCAGTTGAAGTGTATCCAGGCCAAACAACATGTTACAAAAGTCAGAATGAACAGATAGCTGCAGTTAAACATTCTTTCTGCACTGACCAAAAGTATGAAGAGAAGAGTAAATAGAAAAATGGCATGAGACACTCACAAGGCAGCCCCCTGAGCAGAGGTGGACAGTAACAAGGTACAAAAATTTGTTGCAGTACTTAAGTTGAATTTTCAGGTATCTGTACTTTACTTGAGTAGTTGTGTTTTTTGACTGCTTTTTATTTCACTCCTACATTTTTAAACCAGTGTCTTATTTCTACTTACATTTTTAAAATAGACTCCTTACTTTTGGTTTAACATATTTGAGGGGAGTTATTATTTCATGTCACTGTAGGCCTTCAAATACCAAACCGATTTGAGCCTAAACAGTAAGACATGAAAGGCAGTCAGCAGATGTCGCATAAAAAGAGGCAAAACTGGGTGCTGTAGTCAGGGGTTAAAGTGGGACGGTATTTTTTTTTTTTTGTTTATTTATTTTTTTGTACAACATTGGTGTCCAAAAGTTGCAGCTGCGGTACTTCGGCATCTAGATAGCACTACTAAAGACGAGCAAACACAAAGGGAGTAACATGAGGTAAATCATTTCAAATGCAATGCTTCTATCAGCTCAACGAACATCAGCAAACACACAAACTGTTTGTGTGCAGTTTGTCACACAGTGTGTTGCTAGCTCAAGGTCCAAGGGAGGTCACAGGGAGAAAGAAGGAAGTTCAAACTTCAAATGCTGAGGGATGCCAATTACTCAAGAACTGGACCAAAAATTAGTGACAGCACATCTTATGGAGTGATGAATTCAAGCTGCAGTCATCCTGCCTGCCCTCCTGGACTCCTTTGAGCCTTGGTTTCAGTAACAGATACCAAATAAGCAACCACTTCTTCCAGCACCAGGCAGGGCATCACCCTAGGTCAGTGGTCGGCAACATGCGGCTCTTTAGTCCTTATAGTGCGGCTCCACGTGGTTTGGGAAAATAAATTAGAAGTATTTAGCAGAAGTGTATTTTATTTATGTTAGTTCTTTTTTAACTTGTAGTTCTAGAAATATAAAATACAATTATATTCTATTATTTTTCATCGCTCAAAATAAGCGTCATGCCCGCCAAATGCCGTGCATTTATCGAGACTTTCAACCCCAGGTAGGCCAATTATGGATCTTCGGATCCACATTATGTCAGCAGCTCCACTCGTGAACTATGTTAAAAACAAACACCGCTCACGCCTCACAGATGACAGCTTACAGTCCTGCGTAAAGATGAAAGTGACTTCGTACAGCCCCGATTTGCAGACGCTGTGCGCAGAGGTTCAGGAGCAGAAGTCCCATTGTAAACATATCACGGCAGACCCGACGATGTTTCCATGAACATGCTTTTCAGCATCTCTTTATTGACCACTTTTCACACACGGTTGCTGTACGCATACAGCCGGCTGTAGCTTTTCAGCTCACAGCCCGACACACACCAACAACAGCATAGAGGCACAGACGTTAAGTCCCCTGGAGCGGTGCTGCAGACCACGCCCCGCCACACACATTAACCAGGTAAAATACATATTTAGGCAGAATTGTTGCTAAATATCTATTCCCTTTTTTTTTTTTTAGCAAGCATAGTAGCTTTTTTTCCAATTATTTTTAAAAGCTCAGGTCCAAGGCTCAAAAGCCCAAAGGCGATTGTCACGAAATTAATGTATTGAAAGTGCTTAATTAGTACTTATTGTTAAGGGTGGCGGCTCACAACAGTTTTTGTTTGCTACATGGATCATTTTAGTTCAGCTGGGTGTCTTTCCTTTTGTTATATTTCTTTAAAAATGTGTTAATTACATAAATAGAGGCCAGAGAGGCCGATGGCGCGATATGGCAGCCTCGCTTCTGTCAGTCTGCCCCAGGCCAGCTGTGGCTACAACTGTGTGTGAATGTGAGAGTGAATGAATAGTGGAATTGTAAAGCACTTTGGGTGCCTAGAAAAGCGCTATATAAATGCAATCAATTATCATTATTATTATTTAATAAAATATACATTTTCTCTGTAGCATTTCATGGATTTCATAAGCAACACACCTTAGTTTTTCACACAAAGCATAAAGGTAAAAAGCAATATATACAGTGTTATCTTCATTTTAGATGTCAACAAGTATTTGCGGCTCCCAGTGTTTTCTTTTGT